CAGCAGGAAAAACAGATTAATTTGGTCAAATACACTGTTGACTATTCTTAGGTACCTTTTTAATTACTTACTCTCAATTAAAATCTCAACTTAGCCAAAACAAACATGACAGAAGAAAGAGCCAAAAGGATCCATATTGTCATGATTCAATGTGTTTGACATCATTCTGTAGCAGACAGACAGCAACACTCTGGACAGAAACATTACAAAATTTTGTTCTTTTCCCCATATCTATGTCAATTCATGCAGTGCTTTAAACAAGTGAATCCATGCTCTTGAGCGCTAAACCAAGTCTCAGTCTTCAAAAGTAAACATATTAAAGTCTCCCCTGCAGAAACCCCTGCTGTGAAACAAATTGAAAATCAAATACAGCATCGTTTTCAATAATAGGAAATAATTGAACTCTTTTCTGAGTTGCACTGAACTAGTTAATAGCCACCATGTTAGGAAACTGCTAATTTCCCCAGCTTAGGCTATGTGTGTGTATGTGTAGTTATTTCCAAATAAAAAATGCAGTAATATAATATCATGTACCAAAGAGGCCACTTACATGTGCACTGAATCTGACTTTGTCTTTCCGCAGGCCATGTGGCTAATGTTGCAAACGGATGAGCCCGAGGACTTTGTCATAGCCACTGGGGAGGTCCATAGTGTCCGTGAATTTGTGGAGAAGTCATTTAAGCACATCGGGAAAACCATTGTGTAAGTATGAATGTGAGATAGCAGCCACAGGTTGAACATTTCTAACATGTTGCATTTGCTGTGTTTCAGAGATTGTTTCTCTACATTCTTCTTTTTTTCCCCCTCACTTTCTAATTTTGTAACATGTGAGACCTTCTGGGCATGAATGACTGCCACAGTGGCTATGTCTGGTGTTGCCCTTTAGATCATAAGAAAAAAATGTAGGCAGGTACATCTTAATTTTTTATTCCAAGTCTTCATTCTCTGTTCTCTCATTCACTCCCCAGCTTGGGGGACAGATGCCCCTCCAAAGATGGTAGTACCAGGGTGCTGTTCATCATTCTGCTGCAAAAGGGTTTTTTCTGCCCAATTGTCTGTTTTGTGCCCTCAGATCCCCACAGTCGTGCTTCCCATCCTCTGCAATCTCAAGAGATGACGCCTGCCAACCCAGTTCTTTCCATGTGACTGCCCATCAGCCACACCACAGGGATTATGTAGCAACTCACTCTACATTGCTATTAGCCCTTCTTCTACTAAGCCGTAAAAATGTTGAGCAGTGGGTGCAGAATGTTTACAATGCATATTCCACATAGTTTGATTGAAAATACGAAATTCCTTCTCAAGGCCATATAATAAAACCAGGATGGCTTGGTGAGCGCTTTCTGTAATTTATATTTTTATTGTTTATTATTTTTTCAATTTCCCTCCTTCTGTATCTTCTCTGGGCCCCATGCATCAACATACCAATCTCAGCTGGAAAAGGGAGAGGAAAGCCACAGGCTCTTCCATGACGCTAGTGCCAGGGCTGTTCCTCAGGCCATCAAAGTCACTTGTGCAGCTGGTGAACTTTTGACAGGGCCAATAAGTTTTACTTGGGAACAAAAACTTGACAAATTCAATAAATATGCAGAAGTGCACAGATATATACAATATTATTTGAACAGCCAGTGGGTGACTGGGGAGGTAATAACATTTTCTCCTCCATGAGTTTTTAGTCTGGTTTCAATTTTTAGCATCAACTTCCAGAAAAAATTCTGATTTGGAAGAGAGAGAGAGACTGTATAAACATAATTTCTAGCCCAAAAGCTCAGTTTTGGGAATAAGTTTCTCTCCATATTTTTAGCATCTCTCGATAGCAAGATGTCCCTGTATGATCACACATTGTCCCATATGCCTTAACTGTAGTAGGGTCCGACAGGGTAAGGGAGAGGCAGTAGGAGCTCTAGTAATTGCTTTGTCTTTTGTAGTTTTTCTCCTTTTTCTATACTTTTGTTTCTTGTGTTTATAAGCTAATTCTCCCTAGTAAGTATTGATAAAAATATGCTGTGGATTCAGTTGCTCCATGTAAGTAAGAATTCTTGTGATTTTGAGAACTATTTTGTCCCTGTCTAGTGTTGTTTGCAAAAGCAAGAATGAATGTTTGGTGAACAACTTTTTTTTTAATATTGACTACCTAAAATTAGAAACTGAAATGTATAGGTCAGTAACTAGCTGAATGTCTTTATTTGCAGATGTTCTCAACATTAGTTTCTTTTCAAGTCAATAATCATCCATTAGTTTAAAATTAAACTCCGTGCTTTGGTGCTGGCCTTACAAGCCTCAGTATTTCCCAAGACTGACAAATCAGCAAGTATTTTCAGAGAGCAAATTAAACCCTTGAGAAAACCTAAAGAAAAAAACAGCAATTACAGAAATAAAAGTGAAAGTACTCTTATGAATAGCTTCTGTTACAGAGAGGATATTAAAGGCTTACTTTAGATTTGGTTGGTCCTAACACACAAAATTTTGTGTCCCGTTTGTTTAAGTTTTTGCTCGCGTATGGCTCCATATGGTGGACTACACATCATTCATGTTGGTGATTACTGCCGTCAGTGTTTGGATTGAATCAATCAGTCACAAGTTTCTCTCTTGGGGAAACTTTACAGTATGACTCTAAATGACGAGGTAGGGCAGGTATTTTATGTGTATGTTGCTTTTTTTTTTTACTAATCAATAAAAGTAATTTTCAAAAATTGTATAAGAATCCACTTGACATCTAGTGGCATGGATTTTTAGGAACGTAAATTGCTTTAGAAATGGGTATTGGGCTGCTAGTCCTCATGACTCTTCTGAAATTTTTCTTCATTGTGAATAAGTTATTAATTCCTTAAGCCATTTACAGGTGATATACAAATAGCTATACATATGGGGACTGAGGTGACATTTCAGACGCTAATGATAATTTTGTTGCTGATCATTTTGACAGTGGTGTAATTCTGATCATTTTAGATATAGTCTAGCCAGATAAATCGGTTGTTCATTCCCCCTTCTCCCCAGGTGGGGGTAGTGCCACAACAGACCCACTACTCATCCTGTAGCCATCGTTCATCTTTCAAATTGCACTAGATGTAAAATATTTCTCAGGATTCGGAAAGTTTTGTTAAGAACCTCCATAATTTTTCTAGGTGTCAGCCCAGCCCATGCTTTTGCAGCACACACATGCTGTCTCCTTACTCTTGCTGGCTGGTAACCTCTCACATTCTTTGAAACCTCCAAGGGCTTTCTGCTGCCACCTCCTCCAGTTGGAATATATCTTCTTCAAGGAGTAGCCTGGCAGCAAAATCCTCCCTTTTAGTATTGTGGGACCCCACTGGTGAGTCCCATTGATCTGTTTCTTTACAATTTATGAGGCACCTAAGGACTAGCAAACCAGAGTGCAATTGCTAAACAAGTTCCTGCAAGGATGGTTGCTTTCTTCCTGTCTCCCTATCTCCCTTCCTCAAGGTTTGGTTGAGTTGTTTCGTTGTTTGGTTTGGGGTTTTTTTGCAGTGTTGCAGATATTATGAAATTTTGCAATCTCAAAAACTTACCTGGGAAATTTCCAGCGGCCCTTTCCACTGCTGTCAGTGATGGCACAGCTTCCCAGTATTGCTATACAACACGCCTTTCAAAATTGCTGGAACAATGGAGTAAATGGCCAGGAGGGATGTTGTGGCAAGCAGCAGACAGCAGAGATCACAACCCATCTGAGAACACAGGGCATGTGTGCAGGGGCTCTTAACCATCCCTACTTTGTGCTTTGGCAGGGAAAGTTGCAAATGTAATGAAGTCTTAACTGTCACATCTTGATATTGCAGTAGAGAACAGGAACCATCAACCAACTAAAAATTTAAATTTATTTTTTTATTTTTAGTTTTTGGGGTTTTTTTTTTTTAGTTTTTTTGGTTTTGTAACAATTCACATTAACTTATACAGCTGAAAATCCAGGACAGCCTAAAAAGTCTTTCCAAGAAGATAACATAATACTGTGTCATAGCCAGTCATTAGCACATGCCAGGACTATGTCCTTTAGCCAAAATAAGAGAGAGAGACACTTTACTACATTTTTGTAACTAATGAATGTATGGCTGCAATAAGACTGATTCTCTGAAATTGACTGTAAAGCGTACACAGAGGTTTATCTACCTTGTGGGTTTTTTTTCTTCTAACATTTCTTTTTCAAGGGAGAAATTTCAAATTATATTTATATACTCTGAATCATTCAAATTCAGTCCTTTGTACTAACAGGAAAGCCTTAGAGCTACAAATATTTTCCCCCCGTAAGGATCACACTTTTTTTCTTTTACTTTCCCTTCTACTTATTACTAATTAAGTAGTACTTGGGGGAAACACTGCCCGCCTATAATTTGAACTACAGCAGGGTAAATGAAACAGGCAAACGCTTGTCTTGACTAATTTTCTGTCATTAATCTTATTAAATTAGAACAGGATTGCAAAGATAGCCTGAAACCACTGCAGCGCTCAGAGTTCTTTGCAGAATGCTACAAAGACTGCTGTCTGCAAATGTGGAAAGAAAAGAAAAAAAAAAGAAAAGAAAAAAAAAGAAAAAACTATTCAAGCAATGGAAAGATTTATTGTGGGTTTATTAATATAAAAATACATACACATTTGTAACAGAAATATTCATTGCTTCCAGGATCAGAATTAATTCAGTAAAAATGAATATTTTACTCTAGTCATTTGGCTCTACATACAAATTTTATCTTAATTAACATGCCAGTTGGTCTTATAAAAGATCACCCTAAAAAGGGGAAGTTTGCAGATAAGCTATAAGGTCTAATGAGGTGAACTACTAGCAGTGGAGTGGTGGCCTCGTCAGTGACAGTGAAGGTTGAACTGAGATTGAACTGAGGGAGGAGGGTTTTTCTGTTTTGTTTTGGGTTTTTTATTTTTACCTTAAAATGGAAGGTTGGCTTACAGAAACACATGAGATTAGAAGGACTGATGTAAGAATGGCAAGCCAACAAGACGTTAGTCATGGTGCTGTGGGGACATGGAACAGGAGCCATCAAAAGTCATCGTCAAAACAGCTGCTGTTTCCAGGTCTGGCTTTTGCCCACTTCCTTTGACTAGCCAGTGCTGTGCGTTGTATTTAACAGCTCTGGAAAATCAGAAGCTTTCAGATAAGGAGGAAGGGAACAGAATCTTATACAGAAATTGGAGACATTTTGAAGAGTGACAGTTGAAAGGAACCCAGCCAGGTCAGTGAGGAATGCTGACCTGGGTAAACCCACATGAGCGAGGGTCCTCACATAGGACTGCACCACTTTTATCACCGTTCTCACTGTAAAGTACATGTTTTAGGGGGGCATTTAAACCACTCCAACTGCAGAATTAACTCTTCCAGCTGAGCAGGCTTTTATTACTTTCTTATTGATACAAGTTTTTTTCTGTAGGCAGACCTAATAACTGTTTCAGAACTCAAAATAAGGTTTGAAGAGTAACAATTTAATTCTCTGATTTTGTACATTATAAGAGGTATGAGAGTTTCTCCTATAGGAAGACTCGGTGAGAATTTAATGTGGTGTTTCATGGGAAATTCCACATTTCCCGCCCTCTCAAATGAATTGAAAATAATTCTTACAAATGTAATTTGGAAAAACATCTTATTTTAGGTCAGCTGGACTGCTTTGTTTCTCTTCTAACCTCCTTTTAAAGAACTAATAACTTAAAAAAGAATTTTAAAGCCATTCTGAAAAAAAAATTAATTTCCATTCTGAATATTTTAAAACATATTTTTTAGATATTATTAATATAATTTTGTTTCAGGTTGACAATAATGGAACTTACTTGAAACTAAAACTTTTCTTTCCAGAGTGTTTTGATTTTCACAGAAGCATTAATATTGTTTGAGAAAACATTTACTTTTCAACACCAACTTTCACAATTGGAAGTAAAGGGATAAGAGCTTCAAAATATTTCCAATGAATTTGAAAAAAGAAACCAAAAACTAGGGAGCCTAGCATGTATTCTTTTTTAAAGTCTCATAATGGGGGAAAGTCACAATTTAGATTTTTTGAAACTTGAGCTTGACAATGCTGGGAATATAATAATAATAGTATTGTTCTAACTGTGTTCATTTAGTGAACAGAAACTGAAGACCTGATTCATCAGAGCATTTGCAAAAAATTTTGAGTAAATTCCTCTATGGTAGCATACTTGTTCTTCAGATTTAAGCGCAAGATCATGGCTGAGCAATACCTATATATTTGATGGCTTTGATGCATCAGAGCTGCTGGCAAGGTTGGTGGTTGAGTTGGTGGCAAAGAAGAGTCTATGAAGAGTCATATTTAAATTT